AACTTCGGACTAGGTGCGTTTTACAAAGTCCCGCTGACAATAATACCAAGTTGCGACAATGCGGTCAACCAACTTCGAAAATAACATTTCACCTCAAACGATACAAATGATACAAACGATAGCTTTGCTTTACTAAAACATATTCCCATTCAGGATGGACTGTCGTTTCAATCTCGCATAGGTCTTATCAACACCCCCAGCGGGATTAGAATCATGACAGTAATATCGACGCTTTAACTACTATGCCGCATTACCACGAGTACCCTTTGGTCACTGAGTGGATGTGAACCTTAAGAAAGGTCAGGCATTTTTTAATATCACATTCTGCAGTGGGATTGTAGATGAAACAAAGTTATATTTTCTATAGCAATCGACCACGTTACTTATGCTTAGTTTCTAAGTATATATATAATAAACTGTATATTCATTATTCTAAATCATTACATTTTCAAGCAGTCATTTGCAGGAGGCGACTATACCTTACCTCAATTTGTAGTAGGTTCAACCGTTCATGCAAAAAGACAATGGGCGGCAAGAGAGAAGCGTCGAGTTTCGGTCGTGAATGTTTGGCCTCAACTCCCATATCGAGAAGCCGCATTCCAAGATATGGTGAACGGAATGAAGTTGAGGATTCAAGAGCCTTAGGAGCATCAGGGCGAATTCGCACTAACCAACCAGGTGGTATGTGCAAGAGGATGCTGGTAATTTTTCCCGCACCAACCGAATTAACTGCAGAAACGCGTATCACGTACCAGCCGTAGGAAGAAATTCCTGTTAGGGTGATCTAGTTCAGAGTAAAAGGCAAGAAGATTTTCGAACCGAAATACTTGCATAAAATTCACATTCTAATTTAGCCAAAACAAGCCTTTTATTAAAATACCACCACCAATATATAATAACATACACAAGTCCATAAAAACCAGATAATAATTAAAAGTAAGCTGTGGCATGCTTTTGCTTAAAATGTATATGTTCTTAACTACGAATCAGGGTACCGGGCT